TACATAGAGTGCTAAAGCATCCTGTTGCCAAACATCATTAGAGAAGGTGAGGAGAAGGTAATCAAGTTCTGAAACAATTCGACACAGCAATAGGATGCTGTACAAGGAAGTGCTGTGCTGTTTTGCTGCATTTCCCTGCAAATCAGATTTATTTGGTTGGAGGAGAAGGGAGGGTTCTGCTGTAGGGTTCAGCTGACAGCCCCCACACTGAACCCTGCCCAAAATTTTTACCAGCATTATTCTTAAAAGATCAAAGTGTTTCTTCTGGTGTACAAAACAGACACAAACTCTGTACAGGCCATGATAAAAGAACTAGAGCTACAAACATTATGTAGCCAGGCATTGATCCTGGCCACAACGTGGGAAGTGATCTCCAAACTGATATCCATTACTCCTGAGGATGTGGGGTGTGAATTTTGAATAAAAAGGTCATTTTTAGCACAACATTCCTTTCTCTGTGCTGTGCCTGCAGTGTCTGTACACCGAAGAGGCAATTAAAGAGCATTCACACAGAGTGCTCTGGTAACTGTTTAGGGCAGGCACCGTCCTGCTCTGAGGCAAAGGCAATGTTTGCCATTGATTACCATCATCTGGAGAGGGCAGGCTGCCCTTTTCCTCATCACTGGGTGCAAGGAAAATCTGGTGATGTGAAGCCAACTTTGGTTTTGCATCCACCCCAAAACCTTCCGGATAGCTGTGACAAAAAAACAACCAAACAAACAGAAGGAGAGGAGCACGTGAGGAAACCAGACTTAAATCAAACTGAGGATAGTGAAAAAGCTAGAGGTTATTTCTACACATCCACTCTACTCAATTCATTTAGCATTGAATATCAAATATTCTCAGGCTTGAGGGCTTACATTAATCACATGATACTGAAGAATTTACTGGAAGTGGGAACGAAACCACTGCCAGTCTGGTTTTCAAAGCCAAGGAGCATTCATCAAGACCCTATGGATCACTCTGTTGTACGTGCCTTATCCCTGCACCTCTTCATGCACTTGTATCTAACCATTCCTCCCAATTAAAAGGAACACAGGGCTGTATTGGTGCAGCCAGATTCTATCCAGCTTTCTTACACCTCCCCTGAGCATTTTACATGCTGTCTCTTTGCTCTGGATTTCTTCACTAGAGGTATCTTCCAGTATGTGGGAAACATGGCCTTACTGTACCCTACACCTAACTGCTTGCTTACACAAGGTTCTTTGCACTAATGATTGTTCATTCTATTTATAAAATGCTTGGCACAAAAAAAAGCTACTGTCTTTAGCATGTGACATTAGTGTCATGTAGATGAGGTTACAATTGAGAACGTCACCACAGCCAAAAAAGAGTCAGTGCTCCTTTGGGGGTGTGTGTCAGAATTTGCTAGTCAGTAGATAAAGGACACCAGAAATTTCAGCACAACAGGCTTCATTAAGGCATCCAGACAACATGGATTTGGTCACAGAAGGGCTGGTAATAGTATATATATTATACATAACCACTAGTAACATACTACATTCTTTCAACTATAAACAGACACTACTACACGGGAGAGTCAAATCTCTTGAGCATGCAAAGCTTCCATTTTTATTTCTGATTTTCTTCTAAACAGCACAATACTGATTCCATGGATCTGCTGTGTTTGGCTTTTGGATAACACCAACACTTCCCTAATTTATTTTGTTTTAAATGTTTGTGCTCTTGCTACATACAAACAATCTTTACCCCACCTCAACAGTTTTGGCCTGGAAATTGTCTAACTGGAATAAGAACTACCAAGAAAAGACCTCTGGAAGTGCAGCTCATTTCTGGTGGGATACTGTATTAATGGATTCAATTCAGACTATCTAAGTAGCACAGAAGGTTTTAATTGGAAGAACAAACATCATTCTATCGAATAAAGCACTAGCCAATATTTGCTTCTTTTGACAAAATAGCATTGTCCAAAATGTTAGCAAGATACCTGTATTAGCACATCACCTGTAGGAACAGCAGCCAGAGTGGGTATGGATGTTTTTGCCCTACCTAAGTCAATGGCAAAACTCCCAACTTCAGCACAACCAGGATTTTGCAGCTCAAACCAAGTCACAGTAATGATAACAGAAAGATTCACAGGATCCATGCACAGTTTTATGTGTGCTTTAAATGTATCTACACAAGAATAGCTGCTGGATCAGAAAAAAAAATAAAAATCTCCCTGAATTAGTCCATGCAGATGTCTCAGAGAATGGCCATCTCTGTGCTTGTGGAGTGGTTCTAGCCCACAGCCCAGAAAGATTCCCAGATTCTCATTTTAATGATGGGCTTGTGAGCCAACTCCACTGAAATCAGTTCAAGCTTGTTAACTGCAGTTACTACTCCAGAGTAAGCTGCTGGAAAAGCTGGATGAGTAAAACAGATACACACAGATGTTTTGGTTAATAAAAAGTAGCAATTAAGCCTATGTGCAAATTTAAGGGTTCTGCTTAGACAAACACGCAAGCTTGTCTGGGTGTCTCTGAAATGAAACACGCTTTTCAAAATGAAAAAAAAATGGAATTAAGTGTGATGTTATTACCATCCACTCTGCCTTTCTTTATAAACACCCACAAACACACAGACTACCCTACCTCTGTGCAAGAGAGGTGGTAGGAAATTTTCTGCTCACTAGTATTTCAGGGAAAAAATAGTCTTCTGATTGAAGAACAGTTTATCCCTTCCACTTTCTGGCTGAAAGACAACCCATTGCCTCCAGAATACTGAGCACATTAGTAACATTCCTCTCCTCCAAATTAAATGATAAAAAAAATTACAACAAAACATTTCTGGTGTTGTTTTTCATTTTTTAAAGTCTATGAGGAAAGCAACCATCTCTCCCCAAGTGGCTTTAATCTGCCACTTCAACAGACACCAAATCAGATTCGTGCTTTAAACCCCCAGAGTGCAGAGCCCAATGTGTCAAATGCTTGCTTCGAAAAGTACATATCCTACACCCAAAGTCCTTGGTCAAGCTGAATCCAGCTCAGTGTCAGCTTCTACTGATTCCGCCAAGTGAATATTGCCTAAATTTTGTGAAATCTCCCCCTCTGTACCCACTCCCACAGATATCAGCAGAGAAATGTAAACAACTGTTATAGAGATGAACATTTATACCTGCCCGAATTCAGTTGGCAAAGGCAGTACATCAGGCAGATGACAAAATGATTATTTGAGTTGTAAGTTGCAAAAATAATGTCCCACTGCTCCTGCAGGACATTGAGTGTGTTCAGGACATTAAACTGTTCCGTCAGCGACTGCTGGGGTCTGGACAAGCAGAATAGAATGGCTCTGTTTAGACAGCTGTACAGTGTAGTCAGAAAAACTTCTTTTTGAGAAACGGAGCTTTCTAAAACCTGGGAAAACACAAAACAGAGTACTTGGCTTCCTCAAAGAACTCTCTCCCCAAGGATCTACTCTTCTCAATTCATTTAAACTATTGCAAACTTATTTCAGCAAAATTCCCCTGAAGTACCTGTTAGATACAAATTCAATTTTTTTTTTTTTTCTGCTGAAGTCCCCAGGATTGTGGAAGAGATTAATTTATTCCTATTCAGCAACACAGTCAGCATAGAATGGCACAAAAGAGCTAACTACCCCTTCTTTACATTGTACCATCTACCTCTCATTGTCTTTTAGAGCCATTACATGCTCATGCAAGAAAACAGGAATAATCACAATCACCAAATGGATTACAACCATCTTGAGAATCATGGTATCACGACCTCAGTGTGAAAGAGCACATTACAACATGTTGGTAACAGTTGGAAAAACACTTCCTGTGACTCACCCCCATAATCTGTTTGGCAGTGAAAATCAGGATTTGCTTGGGGTCAGCAGCAAACATTCTACCATTCAGCTTCTCAACCAGCTTCTGAGCAAAATAAGCAACGTTCATCATGGACACAGGTGCAGTTGATTCTGAAGCACCATGAGGATCACTGCTCCCTGGAGAAGATACAAGAGAGTCAATTATTCCAAAACAAGCCAAAATGCAAAAAAAATTATTTGAGACATGAATTTGTCAGAGCTGGGAAGGAACAATCTCATGCCACAATATCTCAGAGTAAGTTGCAAAGTGGGGACAGTTGGTTTTGGTTTATTTGAGCGCTGAAAAGAAATTGTCTCAAAAATCAGTACATAGGAATGCTCCATGTGAAATCTTCTGTTCTCAAGAAATTCAAGGGCTGCTCTAATGACAAGCAAGCATTACTAAGGAAAAGTGATTTTTTTTTTGCTCTGAGAGCTGGAATCCCAGCCCTATCCTAGGTTTTTGAAAATGTTGACTGGATGCACCTCTTTGTCCCTGTTGGCAGTTTTTTTTCCTAGGCTGCTAGCGGGATAGCTCCTGTCCTTTCACCCCCAGTGCAAGGTAAAGCAGCAAAGCCCGATGACTACAAGAGAGACCTCAAGAAGCAGCTCAAGCGGATGCCCTTGTTTGTTTGCCGGGATGTTGAGAAGACTGTCCATCAGGAGAACTCGCACAAAATCCCACACTTGTTTCTTGGCAGGGTGTGGGAGGAGCGGGAGAGAGGAGGGATCCACACAGCCTTTCCCTTCAGCAATGGCTGGATCATCAGGAGTCAAAAGGCCTTCAGAGCCTCCCTGTGGAAGCAGACAGCAATGCATTTTGACTTAATCTTTACATGGATTTTTTCCTCCTTGCAACCCATCTCTGATGTGGCTCAGATGCACATACCTTGGGTGGTCCAGAATGGAAAGCCACCATAGCCAAAGTTCTCAAGAAGTCAGGACAGTGCCACACGGGGTCCTGGCTGTAACTGTGATAGATCAAGCCCAGAAACTGGATAATGTTCCCTGGATAGGCAATCTCCCAGGAGGCTTCCGTATCTGCAATAGGCTGAACACAGACAAACATAGATTTAGTCAAGGCAACATTCTTCTCATCCCTATAAACTTGTCTTTGCTCATTTCTAGATATTCCTATGCAACTACGCAAACGTGACAAAACTCTTACCTTGTCCACAGTGACTCTAACCATTTCCAGCAGTAACACAGCTGCCTCTGCACACAACCCAGTTTTGAGGACATTCTCTGTAGGGTGGTGCTGCAAGATCCACTGCAACATAGACTCAAGATCTTTCTACACCAGTAGGAGAAAAGAAGAGACAGAAATTATTTATGATACATCAAGAACAACGCCTGCTTTCTCCACATCAGAAAAAACCCAAAACATCTTCACCTCTAGCAGCTCCTCCCTCTCATATTAAATGGTTGGGACATGCCTAAGAAAACTCTGGGTCTAGCAGAAATACCTCACTCAGATTGGAAATGATGGCTCCATGCAAAGGACTGAAACAATCTCACTAAAATATCAAGGACTATCATGGTCCAACCCAGAAAGGACTCAAAGGAGGGAGCAGCAGCAACTAACTTATCAGGGTTGTTCACAAAAGCACTCAAGGATAAAACTAGGTTTCTTTCTAAATACTCCTTTTTTAATGTTCAGAATCTGTTCTCAAAAAGAGAGAAAAAAGTGAAGAGGCTCACTAGAAAAATGGTGAAACTACAGTAATTTATGCAAACTGGCCCACAGTGGGAGGGAATGCACAGTCCAGCCTGCTGAGCTGCACTGTCCTCCTACCTACTGCTTCCAAACCTTTCTAGCAATTACATCTACACGCTAAATACCAGCTCCCTAATGATCTGATTCTCACTACTCACCTCTTGGTC